CAAGTATTTATAGGCCGTAATCAGGTCTCCCCTCAGCCTCCTCTTCTCCAGGCTAAACAGCCCCAACTCCCTCAGCCGCTCCTCATAAGTTTTATTTTCCAGCCCCTTGACCAGTTTAGTCGCCCTTCTCTGGACTCGCTCCAGGAGCTCGATATCTCTCTTAAAGCGAGGGGCCCAAAACTGGACACAATATTCCAGGTGTGGCCTCACCAGTGCTGAGTACAGGGGCAGGATCACTTCCCTGCTCCTGCTGGTCACACTATTCTTGATACACGCCCGTATCCCGTTGGCCTTTTTGGCCACCTGGGCACACTGCTGGCTCATATCAAGCCGGTAGTCAACCAACACCCCCAGGTCCTTCTCTGCCAGGCAGCTCTCCAGCCACTCTTCCCCGAGCCTATAGCGATGCTTGGGGTTTTTACACCCCAAGTGAAGGACTCTGCACTTGGCCTTGTTAAAGCTCATGCCATTGGCCTCAGCCCAACAATCCAGTCTGTTCAAATCCCTCTGAAGGGCCTCCCTACCCTTGAGCAGATCGACACAGCCTCCCAGCTTGGTGTCATTTATTATTTAAATTCTTTAAATCAAAATAGACTCTTATATCTCAGGCAGTGTCCTAAAGTCTTCAACTACACAAATCAGACTGCTGAAAAGTCCTGAGAGAACTGGAGTAGTATTATCTATGTAACATTTATCTTTCTTTTATTATACTGTGGCAAACACCTACAATTTCAAAGCAATTTGCCTTCATAAAGCATAGATTATCAGTGACTGTTTCTTTTGGCAATCAGACAGCAAAACACTTCTGGAAGCTAGTCTGTATTTTATTATTTACTTTAAAATATGAGAGAGAAAACTTGGTGCGTGCACAAAATTGAAACTTACTGTACGGATCCTGTTATTCCTTCTCATTTCTACCAAATTCCTGATGTGTTTTTTTTTTCAAAATTTCCTACTACTGCATATTATATTACCACCTGTTGTAAAAATCATGAAATATAATACTTTAACACGTCTTGAAATTTAGAAGATGTAGTAACAGTTGTTCAGTTAAATGATCATTTCTGTGTGTAAGCAATAACTCGTACTCAATAGAGGGAGAGATCAGGAAACAAGATGAATACTTAGGCATGTTGGAAGGCATTTGAACCAGTGATGAAATAGTGGGTAATGAATGCATATTTCATATCACTGTGAAGTAATTGGACATGGTAGTCTGCGAAGCTTTTTATTTTTAGTAGAAGACATTCTAGAAGACCTAATGATTTCCACTCTTCATTTTTTTTTCTTCTAACACACCATCACTTACTAT